TATATATATATATAATTTATTTATGTATAGAATTTGCATAGATAGTAAAAAATTAAGAAAAAGAGCTTTTAATATTTTAAATATTGTAGAGGTACTGTACAGTACGACGTTTAAAATAAACGTCAAGAAGAAACTTCAATGCTGTAAATCGAGGGAGCGCAGTAGCTGAATATCCTTACAGGATCAGCGATCATAGAGTCCACACGTCCGAATTGTAAAAGCAAAACTCCCATCCCGCGTAACCATGACAACGGCAATGTCCGAAGGTCTATCTGCAATGCGGAGTTGCAGATGTTGGCAACACTGGAATTGGAAATCGATCACTTAAAACCCTGTTTCGATTCCCTTAAAGGATTAAATACAAACGACTTAATTCCTTATTGCGAGAAATATTGTTTTCTTATTCCTATTTCGGGAAACAGTCGTATAGAAATTCCTTTTTTTTTTCTATAATCCGTTTTGATCTATAGATCAAGCATTACCTTATATAGGATATGGCGCGTTATTATGACACTACCGGTTGTGTTTTCTTAGTGTTTTTTGGGGGGGAATGTATTATACTTAATTATTGTTAGCATTACAGTTATTAATATAATGTACACGATCTTTTGGCAGAAGATTAGTACTTTGTTTCTTTGGAAACGACCTGTAGATGTCTGTAACTAGAATGCCTTCGATGTTTCCGGTATTTTCCAAAAGGAAATGAAGGTTCCGCTATATCTGTTAGAAGCATTTGTTCCTTAACGGAGATTTTCAGCATAGAAATACGCTTAATATCTGAAATAATCAAAAATCTTTGGATAGGTTTTATAACTTTGTCAATTTCCGAAGTTGAAAAACTAAATCTTAAAAAAAATCATTTACAGACATATAAATCTAAATATAAGTTGATTGAAAGTGTCGACAAATCAAAAAGTTAGTTTTATCTAAAACGAAAATAAAAGCACATTAACCACGCCCTCTTATTTGTTGAAGAAACTTAAGACGACGCTGATTTGTCACTAAGATTTTTAATATATTTAAAATCTTAAACTCTGATTGGATAAGTTATTTACTATTATTTAAATTAACCAATCAGTTTTGTTTTTCAACGCTTCTTTTTCTAAATTTATGAAAAATTTCCATATTTGGTAATACACTTTGTTCATTATGAAAATGATTATTAAATTAAAAATTTAAATAATAAATCAATCAAATTATGATTTATTTATTCGAATTTTATCAGATTTATATGGAAATTAAGAAACGACTTACTTTTTTTTTAAATTAAAATATTTCAAACAACTATTAAATTTAAAATTTGAAAAACAAATTTTATTTTCTTCAGTAAAAAACTGAAATTTATAGTAGTGGACCTACATATTTACTGTTTTAAAAGAGGAAAATAATGAAAATAAGCTAGTGTTTTCGAATATTTTCGTTACGACTTTACTACTTTCCGGAAAATGTGTCCCAAAATGACTGTAAATATTCTAATATATATACGTATAATGTCAATAGTGGCAACAGAATATTTTCGTAAAGTCAACACTACATTTACTACTACATCGACCAAACTGACCGATATTTATTTCTAACTTATGCTATTTATTATTGTCTGAGAAGCTTGACAATATTTGCTTACATCTGCAAATTGCATGAAAGTATTTGCTGACATGTCAACTAATAACCAATCTAGAAAATGAAAAAAAAAAATTAATAATCTAACTAATAACGAATAATTATTTATTGTGATGACGTCGTCACAATGCCGGGCTGCAATTTTTTAACCATTTTTTTAACTTCAAAAATCAAACCGGTACAAACCGGCACTTCGTATATAATAAAGCTTGGAAACTTAAAGGCTCCAATTAAAGTCTAAAAATTATTTAAAATTTCTTAATAATTATTAAATAAATTAGTATTATAAGATGTAAAAAAGTTGCAGATTTTTATTTTTCTGTAGATAAATAATTAGAAATTTTCTAATTAAAAATATAAAATTTTATCTTATCTTATTCAGTAAAAAATTTGAATTTTTTTAAAGAATTATTTAAAAATTAATTAATTTTTTAATCATTTTTATTGCATTATTCGTAATTACATATATTTTTATATAATAAAGGAAAAGAGAGATTTATTTAACACGAAACTATCCTTTAAGAGTTACTTAAAAATTCTAAATTAAGCTTATTTTATTCTGACTTGCGGGTTTTATACTATGATTATTATTATTATAATTATTTTTTTTAATTAAAAAGAAAAATTCAAATTATTATTTTCATTAACATAATTAAGGCAAAATTTTTAAATATAATTAAATAAACGA